CACGACAGGTCGGGCAACGTTTTCTCGGCACTTTTGGGCGTACCCCCTTCGCTTTCTCGCCGTCCACGTGTCAGTCATCCAACGCTAAAGCAGATTTTTAGGTCAACAAGGTGCATGCGAAATTGAGTATTTGAGCTGATAACAGTTATGTAAATAGAAATGCAATATATAATGAAAACATACTGACTGTAAACGCGACATAAATTGAAATTATTTTGATTCATGTCCTTCACAAAATTATGATGCTTGTCTTTGAGCTTTGACCTGTTGTTATTATAATTGTCGACCTGGTCAGTTTTGTCATTGTATACTACAAAGACGCAAATTGTATATATCTCTTATATGTTACGGAGACATAAATTTTATATAACCACTTATATGTTATATACATAGTTACAATTTATAAATAAAGCATAAACTGAATGTTGGTTGAGAAAAAAAAAAAAATTGCAATCTAGTATGTAAAATTTCTTTTACATCCTGAGAGAGCTTATAATATATTTTACATATGCATGTTGTATAAATTACAAGTATAAAATTAAGGAAAAAATATAAACAAAATTGAAACACAACAATTGTGGTTAGATAATGTTATGTAAATAAAAATGTAACATGTACATAAAATATACTAAGTATAAACGCAACATATAAGGAAATTATTCTTTGGCCAATGAAATTTATCGGTCATTTATCTTCTCTCCTCATCGCCGCCATCTTCTTCTGCGACATTCGCCCCTCCACCGTCAATTTCTACCCAAAAATGTGTCATCCCTTTCCCCCTCCTCTCGCCTCCGCCAATCTCATCGACTTCAAGAAAGACGAGAAATCAACCAACCTAGACAACCTAAAGCTATAGAAATATCCAAAGCCAGATCCTCCACTTTGACATGGTCTCTCGCGCCAGTTGAGCTGAGGCCGAAGTCGATCGCCTATCCCGCTCGATCCGAACGACGTCGCTTCACATATTCTCACGACCGCCGCGCTCGATTTGAAGGGTCTTAGGAATTTCTTCGTCCGCCCTTCACATTGTAGGTGAAGGTCATGGACTCGCAGCCATTAGGCGAACCACATATTTGATGTGCCATCCCCAGTTAGCCACCAATCCAGCGTCGTGCATTGCACCACCGAGACGAGCATATTTCACCAGTCCGCACCGTCGTCGGTTATCGTCGATCATAATTCGTCGTCGTCGATTGATGCTGCGTGATAAGTAAATTGGGGATGATAAATCATTGCAAAAAGAAGAAGAAACTGATTTGAATGTTGGAGAGTTATTTTCAAAATCGGCTACTCAGTTTAAGGAACAAAATTGATTATATTTGGTAAACTCATATAATGGATTTTGTTAACTAGTACGTACCCCGTGCAATGCACGATATAAAGATATAAAATGAGATGTTTTTACAGTCTTGTCCGTTTAAGTCTAAAAAGTAATAATGTTATTATATATTTTCTACCTCTTTTAATCAATGTTAAGTCTAAAAGATTATTAAGTCGCCCTCTGACAAATATGTTTGGAGTTATGTGTTCGTGTCTCATAAGTCACAAACGTAATGAATAACATTACAAATTATTCATTCAAGCTTTTATTCATTGAAAATATATTAAAATAGTTTATATAACAACCATTAAATACCACTTTCAATATATTTGTAAATAAAAGTATATAAAATTTCTGGTGTTTTTAAATTTAAATAATTTTTATGGGGTCAATTTTAAATCATCCAGACATTTGGTCAAACGCATAGGTATATTCAAATTAAATCATTGGCATTTTGGTCGATTGAAATTTAAATCATCTGACATGGTACTGTGATAAATATAATATATGTAT